TAACACCGACTACCATACTATCAATGAAGAATAAATAAACTTATTATAAGAAGAGTTTGATAATTGAGCATATTTTTTATTAATTGTGTAATTGAACAGATAAAACTGTCCAACGACCGTTTCGTCCTGGTATGGAACTCATCAGCAGTGAGCACCCACTACTCCTGCGACTCACAGGATTCGAACCCAGGACCTTCTCTCTTGCGCGCAAACGCACAACTTCTTGACCACTGAGGCGTCATCCAGTGGTTTTAATGTCTAGTTTTGATCAATCTAAGGATTTTGCGTAACCATAACCATTATGTTCGGTTGTTATGGCCTACACATGGCAGGGTTGAGCTCTACTGTTCACGTCTCTTCTCACTAGAACTTCAAGAAACTAGTCACCAGTTTATTTTTCGATTCACACTCTGACAAAAACAGATAACAAGTATAAACTGTTAAGATTTGCCCTGACCATCAATTCTATGCACTGGCAGTGGTAATTTTAAAGATAAACGTTTCATAATACTAACATTAAAGTAACAATACAAATTAATTAACATTGTTCTTACCGATGCTCATTAGGAAGGATTGGACGAAATCTACTACTGTTCTTGCCTCTAAGTGTATTGACTTTATTTGTGTTCATTTCCTTTCCCACATTTAGGGGGATAAATGAAGACAGTACAAAAGTATATTCTCAAGGAATAAATAATCCGAAATTCGATGAAACACAGGAAAAGGAGTACCCCAATCATATTTGGAATAAAAAAGTATTCAGCCCACACAAAAACAGTAGTGATGATTAATTTGGAATAAAAAAGTTGGTAAAAGTGAGTTTGTGAAATCATAACATTGTAAATTGATTTGTACACTTTACCCTTTCCCGTCATAGGTAAGAGATACAACTATCACTTACATCCTTCATCGATGGTAAAGTTGGAGAGAAATAGTGAAAGAGTTTAATGTATACTTTCACTCTGAGGTGATTGAACATAGGATGTTCTGTGACATATCCTTCTTCAATAGGAAATTCTTGAGAAGGTCAATCAATATTTTCCGTAACGTCATGTTAAACTCTCTCTCTCTCTCTCTCTCTCTCTATATATATATATATATATATATATATATATATATATATATGTCGCAGCTTTTACAAATTAAAATCATGAATGAATCATTGTTAGACCAACATTAAAAACCGGGAAGCACTGGACGACCGTTTCGTCCTGGTGCGGGACTCATCAGCTGTGAGCGCCCAAGATTCCTGCTACTTGCAGGATTCGAAGATGTGACCAGTGGAGTTCAACCGCGTCGGGCTTAGGGCAGTAACTACCAAAGACAATGGGTGAGGTTGTTTGGTGGCTCACTACTGGACTTCAATATAGACGAATGATCGAGTGTGCAATGAAATAAATCTTCCTCTTCACTTCCGTATATTATATTTAGACTAACCCCGTTTATCCGACGGCGGTAGTAAGAAGCCAAATACGGTGTTGCGGATGAACTTATTTCATGCATTCATTTATGCAGACAAATATGAGAAGGGAAGCGCACAAGCAAAACGAAGCGAATCGGAGAAGGCGAGTGAGTTAACTCTCCATGAGCTGAAGAACGGGCTAAGTATTTATAGTCAAGCAATAATAATTGGCTAGTCATGTGATAAGTGAGTAAGCGTCCACACACACACAATCAGAGATACAATAATCGATACTGTTATCGAATTATTACAAATACAAAATTATGGTCGATACAATTATCGAATAATTTAAACGAAACTACAATGAATGAATGATGAGATGCTACAGTTTCACAAAATCGTTAAATTGATCAGAATTAGATATTACCACCGTTGGATTCCGTCTCAGTGGTCAAGAGTTTCCACGCGAGACCGAAGGTCCTGGGTTCGACACCTGTTACTTGTAGGAGTCGTGGGTGCTCGCTGCTGATTAGTCACATACCAAGACGAAACGGCTGTCTAGTGTTTCCCGGTGTCTAATGGTCGTCTAACAATGATTCATTCATGGTTTCAATGTTTAAACTTATTATCTAGCCGATGGTACGAGAACAATTATCAAACATAAATAAGAGCCCACATGGGAGGGTGTACGTTCCGGCTGACCTTGTGGTGTGGTGTGTGCTACTTATACGAACGATATAAGTAGTATAAGAAGAGACGTGAAAGAAGAAGTCTCACGGTCAGAAGAGGAAAACGGAAAGCAAATAGAGCAAAAGCAAGAAGTGAATGGAGTACCAACAGGAAGGAAAGGAAGCAACAACAGGAATGGAAGAAGGATGGAGTGTTGGAAGGCACGACTCAAAGATGGTGTGCAAATAGAGTATTGAATGTAATATTTTCGGTTTTAACTGACTCAGAGTGTAAATTTGCGTGATACAATCTTCCATGCCTGCCTCAGTCTTCTCAGTGGGACAAGTTCGATCTTTAACTTCATGTGGAGTCTGAGGGCTTCGGTCGGTTGTATCAGCGCAAGGCAGTTGGAGGCCAGACGGTTGGAACGGCTTCTGGGTGGCTCGGCAATCCGTTCGGGGTGCCAGGTCTAGCTGGGAAAGCCCGCCTTGTCGGTTGGAGGGATCTTGCTGGTTCATAAGTGCCCGAATAGGGGCCACTGCTCGTGTGTGTGCTTTTTGAACGTCCACTTGTCTACAGACCGATCTAGACAACATGTACGTTCCTGTATGGGGCAGGGGTGATCGCAATATTGGCTCTTGTGAGAATCCTTGTGCTGCTTGAAATGCAGCGGCGTGCATGTGCAGCAGGCATGATGGTTAACCAAGAAGAGCCCACATTATAGTACTCAAAGTTTTCCAAAATAACCATATACAAAGTTACGGTAAATGAAGTAACGATTGGAAATTTTTCGATTAAACGCAGTCATAAAAAAATTATATTTTCAACCTTCCAATGACCTTCACCTATATCTCACTGGGTCATATAGAAAGTGTGATTCTCTGTCCTTTTCGTATTGGGTAAGTGAATAACATATTAGTATGCGTCCTTATAAATGTGTACTATTTATTACTCATGTATCTCTGATCTAAATCAACAAACACTTTGTTTTGTATACAAATTATGATTCCTGAAAAAAAAATCATTATTTCTTAATGAATACCTTTGTATAATGTGCTTCCAGGTTTCTAATGGTGGTCTAACAATGATGATTGATTAATGATTTCAAATGTGTAAAAACGCAAACCTCCAAAACTGTGCCCCAATATAATGTTTGTTTGTTTTGAATGAGAAATTGCCAAAACAAAATGTTTACTAAGTTAAAATTATTCCTATTAGAGTTCTGATGACTCATTACGGATGAGAAGATCTGGGCGTAAAAGTAACTAACATGTGAGTAATAGTCAGTTGATGAAAATATAACAGATGGTTGGCATATAGAGTTATTTGGAGGTTGAAGTTACCTTAGCAAAAAAAGCTAAGCTAAATACATCAAAGAATATGACGTTGTTTACAGTTTAAGGAAAAAGCATAAACACTAAGCACCACCATCATTGATTAAAGCTGTTACAACAGTAGGGGAAGAAAAAGGATTCTATCATTAATGCCCAAGGTTTTCCCCTCGAAATGCAAAATGTTGCTTCAAGATTGGGTTGCATCGGCACCTGAACTAATGATAGGGAGTGAAGTAGTCGAACGTGTAGACCGTTTCACTTGTCTGGGGAGTCTCATCAGTGCTGATGGCCTGATGACTGACGAAATCTCAGCTCGGATAAAGAAGGCTCGATTGGCTTTTGCCAACCTGCGTCACTTATAGCACAGGCGAGATATCCGCTTGTTAACCAAAGGACGAGTGTACTGCGCAGCAGTTCGTTCTGTCCTACTGTACGGATGCGAGACTTCGCCGTTAAGAGTAGAGGACATTCGTTGGTTACTAGTCTTCGATCATAGATTTTCAAGAAGCATTGCTCGTGTATCCTGGGACGACCGATTAAGCAATGCTATCGCTAGGAAAAAAGTTCTAAGTAAGGATGACAAATCAATAGATAAAGTATTGAAACATCATCAGTTGAGGTGGATGGGACATGTGCTGCGTATGCCTAACCACCGACTGCCGCGACGAGCTATATTTTGTAGTGCAGGAGCAGGTTGGAAGCAAGATAGGGGCGGCCAGACCAAAACATGGCACAAATCCATGAAGCCACTGACAAGTGGACTGAGTCATGTTGGTAGATGTAGGCTATCTGGTTGGGGTCCGCGAGACGATAGTCACAGATGGTTAGAGACCTTGAATGACACAGCTCAAAATCGTTCGTAATGGCGCAGGTGTATCCACTCTTTGTGTGCTTTTTAATTCTAACCTTCTGAATTCCTTTCACTTAGTCTACCTACTTGAGCATTAAAGTCACCAGCCATTATTACCATATCAGTGCCTAACTTTTTGGAGGAGGTCCGAAAGCTTTCTGCACAACTCATCTTTCACATCGTCTGAACTACAATCGGTAGGAGCGTAGGCACATACGATGAAGAGGCAACGGCGTGTGTCCCTATCTTTCCGAGTCCTCACTGTCCCGTTTAGTCGGACTGCGCACCAACGACTATCTACTGGGATCCAGTCTAGGAGAGCTAGTTCTACCCTAGAACCTACGCCAGCAAGACATCGGGAAGCTTAACACACAGATAGAATAAAACAAATAGAAAATCAACATTTTAATTAACTAATCATTATTCATTAAGTATAATATACATTAGTAATCATACACAACAATAAATACAGAGTAGTAATTATTCAGGAAACAATAAAAACCTATATGGATATATATATATATATATATATATATATATATATATATATATATACGCAACCATTTATTTTCAAAAGCATTCTTCACACACACATTTTTTTTGTAAAAATTCGCTAGGATTCTATGAAATAATAATAATAATAATAATAATAATAATAATAATAATAATAATAATAATAATAATAAATGTACAATGCATTTTGCAGTCTAATCATCATTTCATAGACTTGAACAATGATGTAGTGGTAGTAGTAGTAGTAGTAGTAGTAGGGATAGAAATGTTATTTCATGTATTAAGATTGATTGATATGTTGGTCGTGTTTGTCAACGACGATCAGTCAGTCAGTCAATGATAATAATAATAATAGTGATGATGATGATTTGACAAGAGAAAAGACAACTGTACAATTTTATGTTAAGATTAATTTTGGAATTAAAGAAGCAAGAAAATATAAAATAAATGTGTTTTAGAAAAAACCAACCACACCAACAACCACAACGACAACACAGTTAGCATAGTTTAAAAAGATACAGCAAGCAGAGAGAGGCGACTGTGTTACTCTTCACAGGGAATAATAACACCAACACCAACACCACCATCATCCAGGTGGTCACAGGAAGACACTCCACCGGTCTTTTACAATGAATGAATTGATTGGTTCATTTAGGGAATAGCTGTTTGTTTGTTTTTTACACAGAAATGGTAGGTTCATGCATGAATAGTGGCCGTCATCGTCATCGTATAAAATTAAATAAATAATGTATAAAGCTGAAGCCATATATAGCTAGCTAGCTAGCTAGCTGCTTATAATTACATTAAAAAGTGTGAATGCATCATGCAAATGAAATGATAATTAACCAACGAGAAAATGTGCTATATATATAGTAAGTAATATGGAATAAAAACAATGGGAATTCTCACTTTTATTAGTAGTAGTATTATCATTATGATTATGATTATTATTATTACCTATATCCATTTTCACGACTATGCGATTGTTTACGGTGTTTATGATGAGAATGGGATCGATGATTTTTGGAATCTGTTGAGTCATGTCGATGCTTTTTATGAGTGTGACGATGACGACGATGATTGTCATGATGGTGGTGGCGATGACGATGATGAGAAGGAGGAGGAGACGGAGAAGAAGAAGAAGAAGAGGGAGAACGAAGTCGATTGCTGCTGTTACGTTCAAGTCTTCGATCACGATGACGGCTATCATCGGAACCATTCCAAGAATGATTATGATGAGAATTGTGTTTCGATGAATGATGACGACTTTTATGCTTTTTCTTATGATGTTTACGTTCACTAGATGAAGATTTATCTAAATGATATTTTTTAGATTTTTCAATATGATGATCAGGTACCCAAACAATACCGGAATCAGAACCACTGTTTGATGTTCGACTTCGTTTGGAAGGTGGTGGTGGTGAGAGATTTTTATTATCACTACTCGATTCCTGAAAAAAGTGAAAACGTGTAAAAAATTCTTAATAACAAATGAATAGTGTTCCATATTTTTTAAAAACTGATGACTAACTAGATAGCCAGCCGTCTGTGTACTATGCAACCGTCTAGTTAACTATGATCCTTTGAATCTATCAATAAAAATGCTGAACCAATCAAAAGGCGCTTGCAAGCACCCTAAGAAAAGGTGAACTCTGTCCATTTAGCCATACCAGGGTATTTGAAGATTACTGAATTTTATGATAACTATATTTTGTAAGTAATAACTCTATACAGTCGAATAGTTCTATACGAGGAAAATACACATGAATAATAATAGTTTCACATAAACATACTAAAGTTCCCAGTTGAAAGTAAAACAGTTAATAAATAACAAAAAATGTCATAACCCGCGGCCAGTAAAGTAGATTCAGTCAGTCAGTTGCAACGTAGAACTTCGTACGTAGGTACATAAGTTCATGTTGCCATACCACATTAGCACAGAGACGCAAATGTCAAATCAAATCCCATAGTGATAAAGATAGTAGAGGTATATGCCATCCTTAACTAGTACTCGTTTCCTAACGACAGCATTGCTTACTCGGTCGTCCCAGGATACACGAGCAATGCTTCTAAGACATCTACGACCGAATACTAGCAACCTACGAACATCTACTCTTAACGGCCATGTTTCGCATCCATATAGGAGAACGGAGCGAACTGCTGCGCAGTACACTCGTCCTTTGATTAGCGAACGGATATCTCGCCTTCGCCATAAGTGACGGAGGTTGGCAAAAGCCAATCGAACCTTCTGTATCCGTGCTGAGATTTCGTCTGTTACCAGGCCATCAGCGCTGATAAGACTCCCCAGATAAGTGAAGCGATCAACACGCTCGACTACTTCACTCTCTATCACTAGTTCAGGTGCTGATGCAACCCAGTCTTGAAGAAACATTTTGCATTTCGGGGGGGGGGGGACCGCATCCCGAACATGCTTGCATACATAAATATGATAGGGAAGGAATTCACCATACAGCGAACAAATCACAACACTTTTTCTTTACCTCATAAGAATAATCCACTAAAGAATTTGTCAATTCTTGTTTCAAGCCTACAACAGTATTGCTGACTGATGGTGATTGACAAGAAGAAGTGGTTTGTAGCTTTGCCGCATTGTCAGAATGATTGTGAGAGTTGACTAATGATTTTCGTTCATCACTAGTAGAATCCCTTTTCATAGATTTATTCGTTGTTGTCGTTGCAGTTGACAATGACGACGATGAGGAGGAGGAAGAAGAAGAAGTTGAAAATGATGATAAAACAGATCCAGTCGACGATGTTGGACGTCCAGTCCATAAATCTGTTGAATTCTCTTTACCATACAGTAACTTGACAAAGAAAAAAGAGATAGGAGTAAATTATTATAAGTATCAAGAATATCAACAAACGCGTAAGTTATATAAAAAATACAACCTTGAATAACATATTCAACTTGATGGAATTGTACCGCAATGATGCCCATTAAATAGACTATGCATCACATTGTTGACATGAAAGATAAACGTTTTATTCAGACCAGACAGACAGATACAAGACAGAACTTCGTACATAAGTATATCAGTTCAGATTGCCATACCACATCAGCACAGAGATGCAACTGTCAGTTCATATCCATGAGTGATAGCGATAGTTAAATTATTAGCAGCAATGGAGAAGATTAGGGAGCGAAGATATGATTCGAAAAGTATGATTCAGTGAGATAAATTTAGACCGTAGCTGCGACTTCGACGTGGTGGTCGGGCTTGTCTATCGTCATGACCCGACCGAGCTATACTGGCTGGAACATATGTTCCTGCAGGTCCTACCATGCCAGGCTGGTCGATTGGAGAACGATGAGACTAAAAGCAGCTACTCAACGTCTGAGGGCGAAGTAGTATTGCTGACTGACTGCAGACGGGTGTGACAGCAGTAAGGTGATTTCCTCGGACAACCAGCATTAGCAGCGATGCTGCCTTCTCACAAGGAAGGAAGGGTTAGAAAAGGTCGACCCTAAAAATCTCACAACTCATCCCACCTCACGGATTTCCGTCTCCGGCGTTAAAGGTGCCCACTAAGGGCTTGAAAGAGCGGAGCTAATACTCAAAAAATCCTTCATAAAAAGGCCATGCGTTACCGGCCTCAAGCAGTTGTCCCTTGGAATCTACGGTCACGCACCCAGGTCTCCAAGACTAACTCTAATCTATCTTCCTTTTCAGGTTCCTCAAGAAACACCCTTCCACGGTGTGGGCAGCCGGGAAGTGACAACCGCCCTCATACCCGTAACACCACGAGAGACCAAATTGGTCAAAATCAAATCCTTCTTACACCCCGTAATATTCAGACCAATTTTAAAACGAGTAGAGAGATTTACAATTGTTAAGCATTGAATTCAAAATTAAACATTCACATCATTATTGATTGTGCGAAATTCATTTTAGCGACCTCTTGAATTGATTTCTATCTGACATAAGAAAATAGAGACCATTTAATTTTAGATTGTATTTGAGTAAACTGAACAACAATATATCGTGTAAATGTTTGACAGTAGTCGACAGACAACTTTAGGTCTAGGTTCTGTGCTATTCAGAACTCGTTTGAGCAAGGAGTACCTGCAACCTTATGCTCCTTGACGGATTCCATTTAGTGTCACCTAGCCTCAACAGTTATAGAAATTACCACTGACTTGTGACTGATGTCATTAGGTAATTCAGATATATAATAAACATTTTTCAAAGTGGAAACATCGTTTTATATACAAGGCGTGAATTAGCATCAAGTGGATAGATCGGCGTTTGAAAATAGACTCGATTAGGTTGACCGTTGAGTATAATTTAACTGTAAAATCATAGAGTGGTTAATTTGTACATTATCACGCGACTAATTCAAATTACAAAATATAATACCTGTAAGTATACTCACACTGTTTTCCTAATAACTTGAACACTGGTTGATTTCATGACTAAAAGAGTATGCACTGAACGGTCCTAGAATTTATTAACTAACATATCAACTCGGTTATGTCTACATAACATCAGACCTATGTCGGTAACTTTCTTGGATTCACTTAGATTTTGTCTGAACAGATCAGGAAGTTAGGTGAATATGCTACATATCTATCTATCTATCTATCATAATGTACATTCTAATTAAAGTTTTAGCTAATGCACTAAACAGTAGTGAAATTTACTTCAATCAGCTAATCATTAGGTAAGATAGAGACTGGGATGATATATATAAACATCGGTTAAAATTGTTTCATCATAACACAACGACGAAAAGTTAAAGTAGTAGAATAAGTATTATTAATATTAGGAGTAGTCAGTCAATCAACGTCAACGTAGAACTTCGTACGTACATACACATCAGTTCAGTCAATTCAAATCCCATAGTAGTAGAGGTAGTAACAGTATTAGAAGTAATCGGAGAGATTAGGATTCGAAGATATTATTCACGAAGTAGAATTTACTGAAATTAACTTAAAAAGAAAAAGATAAAGTGATGAGGAATTAAAAAGTTTACGATTTGAGAGAACACAAAGAATGAAAGCACCTACGCCATTGCAAACAATTTTGAGCAATGTCATCCAAGGTCTCTAACCATAGGTGACTTTCGTCTCGCGCAGCCCAACCACATAGCCCACATCATCGAGGCAGTCGGTGGTTGGGCATTGGTAACACATGCCCCAACCACCTCAACTGATGAAGTTTCAATACTTTATCAACTATTGATCTGCCATCCCTACACCTAGTACTTGTTTCCGAACGACAGCATTGCTTACTCGGTTGTTCCATGATACACGCGCAATGCCCATGTAGACGATGCTTGCGTAGATGAAAGGATTCAAAAACGGATTCTTGTAAGATAAAAAAAATGCACTACAAGATAATCATCCTGAAACTCAGAATCGAAAGAAAAGACGGCAAATAAATGCATTTACACCTGACGTCTTCAACCGAGAGATATGCATTATTACAGCGGTCACATTACTAAACATGACAAAAATCAATACAAAATAATAACAAATAGTATCTAACCTCTCGGACAGTAGGCGCTGATAAAGAGATGGGTATCGTGCTACTACTATTATTATTAGTAGTAGTAATATTATCATTATTATTGTTATTATTATTATTATTATTACTACTATTGGTCGTAGCTGATTGGATTGTTGACAAAACATTTGGATGAGAATTCTTATCACAATTGATAATACCATTTGGAATGGTTTTAGTTGTTGAAGGAAGAAGAGACATTGAATTGGTGAGACTATTGGACACGGATGTAGACGGAGTAATCGGTAAGGCTGGAATAAAAACAATAGAGTACAAAATAGTATTATTACTATTATTATTAGTGGTAGTACTACGTCACAAATAATAAATTTGAGACAGGCATAGAGAGAAAAAAAACTGAAGACTAGAAAATTCCATTCCGAAATTGGTTGATTAACAAATTTAGTCAGTTGTCATATATCATCTCACACCATTCTACACGAAGCAAGAATGCCGCAATCAATAAAAAAAATCTGCTACCATATTATATACCCAAGCGTCCACATCCACCAATTGGGGCGCGCTCAGCAAACAGATGAGGATAGTGGTCGGGGCAGGATAATAATAATAATAACTAATGAAAAACGAATGTAACGGCTTTCTATTTACAAATTATACCTTGACAATGTCAGTAGTGTATTACGTAACACCATTTCATTTCTCATTCACTTTCACTTGATGAAGCTTGATTTTCGTTGAGAAATTTGTGAAACTCTTACATATTTAACGCATAAGTCAGTCAGATGCAACGTAGAACTTCTTAAGTAAGTACATCAGTTCATGTTGCCATATCACAACATTAGCACAGAGATATAATTGTCAATTCGTATCCAATAGTAGTAGAGGAAGTAAAGGTATTAAAACTAATCGGCGAAGTTAGGATTAGAAGATATTATTCAAGAAGTATGATTCAGTGAGATAAGTTTAGAAAGACAAAACTAGAGGGGTTGAAGAATCCAGAAGACTATCTAACAATCAGTACAATGTTACGGCTCCAGAAAATGAATGATATTTTAAACGAATGTAACACACAGTTCGCTTTAGTCTTTATCAGATAATATAGTATGCAATTTTTATTAATCCTTTATGTTCTCTCTCATATTCTAATCTCTTCAGAATTTATTATCATCCATATATTTCTCTCTATCTATCTATCTATCTCACTGAATTATACTTCTGGAATAATATCTTCGATCCTTAATATATTCTCCACTACCTGCTAAATCGTCTACTATCTCTCCATCACCATGGGATTTGAACTGACAGTTGTTATGTCTCTGTGTTAATCCGGTGTAGCAACCTGAAGTGATGTTACATACGTACGAAGTTCTATGTTATAACTGACTGACTGACTTAATCCTATTGAAAAGATAAATTCTAAATCAGAGTAACTATCTGTTAGGATATTTATTCCATATCCTAAGAGAATTATTGGTCGATTTCTATTGGTTAATCCCTACCAGTCAATTTTATGGTCGTCCTAGATATCAATATCACTTTAAATGTTGTTTCCTATTGGTCGGGTTAATTGTTAATGTCAAAGACTTCGACGAGGTTTTGCTATTCGACCTAAATGTATAAATACGCATTATCTGTAACGTTTTATGACCTGGATCCGGATACCTAGTCCGAGACCCTGATTCTCTTCTGGACTCGGACCTTATGCTTTGTGGATGCTTGTAGAATACATGTTCTACTTCATATCAAGTCTTCTTCTTTTACTCAGTGGGGGGAGGGTTAGTACACTCGGATGAGAGTAGCCTGTCGTGTCACCGGATCCTCGCTCTCGTTTACCGACTAAGGTAAACTCGTCATAGTTTAAGCGTTATCAAATGACATGTTTATGTTCACGCGTAACACCATCATTATTCTTTTATGATCGTGAATATATATATATATATATATATATATATATATATATATATATTTAACACATGAAATTGTAGCATTTTAATCCCTCGCATATTATTATTTGGGTGGATAATATTATGCTTTTAACGAGTATCTTTCTTTATCAAACAATTTGATACATTGATACATACAATGTATACAATAGAATTTCAAATAAAAAAGGTATTCAATTAACTAAATCAATAAATGAAAATAATAATCCTCATCTTTGTCGATCAGTCAGTCAGTCAGTCATACACATATAATCACGAGTTTTGTAAAATGAGAGATAATCATTCACGTTAAAGTTGATCAGATGTGTATGAGATAAATACATATTGCTCTACACAGGAATAGGAAATATGCAAATGTATGATGTTAAGGATTATTGAGAGCATTTTCCAGCAGGAATGATGATACGCATTAAACAATGCATAAATAGTACAAGGGTAGCGCGCGTAGTACATGTTCCAGTTTCGAATATCACAGTAATGTATCAATAATAATACATGACAAAGAAGAGACATTTTGAAGGGTTGTATGTATCAAGAGTGGTCAAGAGACTACTACTAACTTTTCTTTTTGGAGAACTTGTGAGACGGTATGGATGAATTATGCCTGCCTTACTTTATAAATTAGTATAGCTTGTTGTTTTTAACGTGAATTTATTTCAAAACACAAATCAGTCTATTTGTGGTGTGAGCTACTTATAAGTAGTATATGACGTGAGTGTCAGCGTAATGTCTAGCAGCAGAAGATGGGGGGAAGATCAAGAAAGGAAGAGTTAGAACACAATGGAATTTGTATGAAACGCATGAATAGTGAAATGTCAGACAATGGATTGATGTTTTGCAACAGGAACAGTCCAGTTCGAGATGATGGACTGATATTTTGCAAATGAACGATTTACGATATGGTTTTCCTATTTTACTGAGTAACTCTGTAATTTTCGTTAAATACAAATCGGTTGCCCTTACCTGTGTTCTCGTTCACAACATATGTACAGATGAACATGACATACGATAATATCTACAAATGCCATGCAAAACTGATCCATATGTTACGATGAATTGTACCTGCTGGTGTGTATGACAGTTGAACACATTTCATTCTAGTTACGTTCGACTTCGATTAAAAAATCAATGGCCACTCACATTTCATGTCACCGTCAACTAAGTATACAAATTCACAAGTACCTTTCTAAGCAGTTAGTTACATTAGTAGAACAGAAAGAATGAGATCTATGTTCGATTCCAAGAACATATTCAAGAAAAAATGGGCTCATGTCAATGGAATTAAAGGTGTTCATTAGTGGCTCTTGAAAAACATTTCTGTTACACACACTTCATCAAGTTGACAAACTGGTATCTTTCAGCACCATCAATCGATAATTCAAGTGTTATTTTTCTCAAGTTCGCTGAAGTTGTAGGCATGAAACTCCTCCTTAAAGTCAGACTTATTTCAAAAAAGTAAACATTTGATAATTATTTTTCATGTCATGATGACTTGATCATCTGAGTTTTATTACATGATCCTTGCGAATTCACAACTTGATTTGTATTTCACTAAATGACTTATCTATCTCAACTCATATTATTTGGGGAAGTGAGATTAATTTATGTTCAACTACTTTGTTGCATAATCAGTTATCTCTCTTTTTTCTAGCCCTATAATCTCTTGTTACCGTCGTCTTCTCTTTTACAAATGGATTTGTCCCCAATCTCATGTAGTTTATTCAAATCGCTTGCTATGATGATGATTATTTATATAACCAATTTTATATTACTGAACTTTACAATAGTCATGAAAATAAAATATTGTAACATTTTAGGCAGCTGACAAAAGAATCTTACAGAACAAAATGAATTCTGTGTAATCTTTTTGTTCTTGGTTTTTATACGAGATAATAAACTGGACTAAAATCTAGTATATCCCATTAGATGTAGAGAAAACATTTCGCTGATACTCTAAAACAGAAAGTGTGATTGTCGTTATCACACTTGGATTTGAACTGACAGTTGCGTCTCTGTACTGATGTGGTATGGCAACCTGAAGTGATGTACTTACGTACGAGGTTCCGTGTTGTATCTGTCTGTCTGTCTGATACTCTAAAACACAGGATGCACAGAAAATAACCCACCGATGTGCTGTGTCAGTTATCATCCTTTTACTGCCTAGTATTCCAAGATCATGCATGAATGCATGATAGTTTACTCGACTTTCGTTAAATCAGAATAAACTTGAAAAGTAAAAAATACAATCAATCTATTATTCTACAACAAACCTGGATAGCCAAAATATCCTAGTAAAGAGAATTGTTAATAAACACCTGCATCTTTTGGATGATGACTTTCATGGTTCTCCAAGTTTCCGCCCCATACAGTAGAACTATCTAGATATTTGTATTGAAAATTCTGACTTTTGTTGATTGAAAGTTGTTTTAAGTTCCAGGCGTTCTTCAATTGGAGAAATGCTGTCTTTGCTTTGCTGATCCGTGTTCAAGAGCCAGAACATCTGCGAAGTTTAGATCATCCAACTTCATCCCATACATTGCCTCCAATTCTAACATTTTCATAATCCAATTGACCACAAGGAGAAAGAGTGAGAGTAAGCAACCTTGCCCGACACCGGTCTTCAGTTCGACGAAGTCTGTTAGCTGTCCGCCGTGCACGATTTTGCAGTTTAATCCATTATAAGAATTCCGTTTTTGATGTTGAATACCTTCTCAGACACGCCATAGTGTTGTTCTGTACACACTGTCGATTTCTTTCTCGTAATCAATGAAGCTGATGTAGAATAATGAGTTCCATCCAACTGATTGTTCCACAATGATCCGTAATGTTGCAATTTGGTCGGTATACGATCGATCCTTACGAAATCTAGCCAGCTGATCTCAAAGTTGGCCATCTTCTACTGAGTCATTCATTCTGTTCAACAAAACTTTTCCTGACATTGAAAGAACAGTAATGCCTCCACAATTTACACACTTGTTGAAATCTCCTTTTTTGTCCCAGTGAATTCAAAATATATATTCACCCAGGCTTACATCACACACTAAAAAGAGTCAATATATCAAAGCCAAGACTAATCGATTCATTGCTGAAACTAACAACAGAAAGTAAGTAAGCAATTAATAATGCACACAATCACCACAATCGATGAAGATTAAAATCACTGACAGACTGACTGACTTATTAACTACTATGTGATGCATTAATTAAGGTCAATAATGAAGAAAAAAAATTAATCCGTCAAAACCATGTGTGTACAACAACACAACACAACACTTGAATGATGAAGCTCAATCAAAAGAAATATATATCTATATATAAATATATATTGACAACTTACGCAAGATATTTATTTTGTTCAATGAAAGTTTAGCATTGAAAACAATTTTCGGTATAGACACTGTGGTGTTTGTATTATTATTATTATTATTAGGATTGTTACAATTGGACAATGAATTCATTGTTGGCGCTGAAGTCGATGCAATCACAGATGATGTCGTGGTGGTGGTGGTGGTGTTGGTGCTATTGGTTACAAGAGGTAGTAGTAAATTTGTTGATTTGATCGCATTGAAAGATTTATGATGATGTTGATGATTAGGCTGTGTACATGATAATGATGATGATAGTAAATATGAAGATTTTGTTGTGGACTGTTGTGATTGTGATGTTTGTTGTTGTTGTTGTTGTGGTTGTTTGACAGTAGTATCATTGACAGGAGCTGATTGGGAATTGTTTAATTTCGGAGGATTAATATCAAGTGAAGATTCTGTAGTGGCTACTAGTGAACGATTAATTGTATTATTAGTTGAACTACGAACCTACAAGTAAAAGATAGAAAGTATTTACCTTAATACACTAATGTGATATCTGCATTGTATGATTAGAATGAAATGAATTACAACAGAGATAGCCGTATTCAAAGCAGAAATTAACACATCTATGTATAAATTGAAGTTTATCGATCAATCAGCTACAACGTAAAACTTCTTACATAAGTTCAAGTTGCCATAACCACATTAGCACAGAGATGTGATGGTCAATTTAAATCCCATTGCAGTAGATGTAAACTAGAGGTATTAACAGAAATCGAGGAGATTACGGTTCGAAGATATCATTCAACAAGTAAAATCCAGTGGAATATACTTACAAAAGAGAAAGATAAAGGTCTTAAGAACAGAAAGATAAAGGTGACATGATCAATTCAAAGTTAGCCAGATCAGACAGACAGAGACAGATACAACGCAGAACTTCGTACATAAGTACATCAGTTCACGTTGCCATGCCCCATCAGCACAGAGATATAATTGTCAATTCAAATCCAACAGTGATAGCAATAATAGAAGCATTAGCAGTAATGGAGAAGATTGGGGAGCGAAGATATGATTTGAGAAGCATAATTCAGTAAGATAAATTTAGGAGAAAGGTATAGATTATGAGGAATGCAGAAGCTTAGAATTTCATAGAACACAAAGAGTGGATGCACCTGCACCACTGCAAACGATTCTGAGCCATATCGTTCAAGGTCTCTAACCATTGGTGACTATCGTCTCGCGGACCCCAACCTGGTAGTCTACATCTACCAACATGACTCAGTCCACTTGTCAGTGACTTCATGGATTTGTGCCATGTTTTGGTTTGGCTGCCCCTAGCTTTCTTCCAACCTACTCCTACACCACAAAACATAGCTCGTCGAGGCAGTCGGTGGTTAGTCATACGTAATACATGTCCCAACCACCTCAACTCATGAAGTTTCACTTCTTCATCTATTGATTTGCCATCCTTACCTAGAACTCGTTTCCTAACGACAGCATTGCTTGTACAGTTGTCCCATGTTATACGAGCAATGCTTCGGAGACATCGATGATCGAAGACTAGTAACCTACGGAAGTCCTCTACTCTTAACGGCCAAGTCTCGCATCCGTACAGTAGGACGGAGCGAACTGCTGCACAGTACACTCGTCCTTTGGTTAGCAAAGTTAGCTAGATCATATTCACCAGAAGAAAATGAAATTAATAGGAACCAATTTCAGGGTAGTCAAAGCAGTAACAGTAGAGAATAGCATGATAAAAAGAAAAATGAATTTTCGGACTAAGAGGAAATATAGTTATAAGCCGCTTTGAAACTCAAGATAATAAGGGATTCATCTTTGTTATTACTGAGACTGATGATTTTCAAACACTTCATACACACACACACACATATATACCTCCACCAAACAATCATTACATTAATTGTGTAGCCTTCTAATCTATGCATGAATATCATATTCTGGTACGACCTCTCGTAACTTTGTACCATCCCAATTCCGTCAATACGAAACATGGCCCAAAATGGTGGTAGATAGTCGTTAGACATGCATATACCATACACTTTAACCGATAAAGATTCATTACTTTATCAACAACAGAGTTTTTTAAATATTCATCATAATTATACAAATTAACCCTCAATCAGCAAAGTTAATTTTACTACACTGGTTTTCAGGACAACCAAGGCGACTGCCTACGTATTAACACTACAACGTCGTGAACAAGTTCGGCTCAATCCTGTGACGCAACCACTACACAAGTCTCTGACATCATGGTGAACAAACAGAGATAGCATACAGATTATTAAAATCTACAAAGAAATAATCATTCATTTGAAAATAAACAAGCAAGAATTACAATAGAAAAAGTTAAGGTAGATTTAAGACATTAAAAATGAGTTAATCACAAGATAAATGAAACAACGCTTTACAATAAATCAATTTGCCAATATCATTGGTGGATAAATAACTCATACACACGCGAGACCGAAAGTTATGAGTTTGATTCCCGCATGTATAGAGTCGTGGATGAACACTGATGTTCACAGATGATCTGACATTAATTAGTTTACGATTTCGATGAAATCTAATGAAGCACTGCAGTCAAATGTAAGTATAAAATAATTTCATTAAAATCATGAATCGATCAATGACGTACCACCATTTCACACCTGCAAGCACTAGACGGCCATTTCCTCCCTGTATGGCACTCATCAGCAGTACATATGCACAATCCCGCAAGGAAGAATCCAACCCAGGACATACGGTCTGACGCGGAGATGATTAACTTCCTGACTACTGAGCCGTAATCCAAAGGAGCTGAAGTCGCACAGTATCGTTAATTGATACAAGATACATATTGAGACCATTGAATATTGATTCACTGATCACTAAGACGAAACGGCCATCCAGTGATTCCAGTTTCCTGATGGTGTTTCAACATTAATTGATCCATGATTTCAATGATACTTGTTCACAAACTTTTGGTGACAATAAATGCTTACTAAGTTTTAAAATGAAACATGAATTTGCAGATAAATACATATCATCAGTAAGACTTTATACAATTGCTGAGACTAGAACAAACTTTGACTGATTATAACATAAAGTGTAATAGTAGTCAATATCAACGGTTACACTAATCTAAAAGTATGTAGGTAGGTAGATGGTTCGGAAGTTGACTGTGTGCTAAGATGCACGCATAAAAAAGTAAACGGAAAGGCAACGTAATTATCATCACTTACTGCTTCATAGAACAAGAGGTAGGGAGACTGACGTAAAACATGGTCAGGATTTGTTGTTGAAACCTGAAGAATAATAAAAAAGGACATAGCATAAACAAACTATTAAGCATAACATCTTAACATCAATATGTTAAGTGAACATTCATTCTGACTTTGAACACTAACCAGTAATCTTCATACAATACACTATGCTACATATGATAACAAGACTTGAGAATTTCAAAAGTGATTGAAATTAACAGTCAACAACAGACAGGCAGACAGATACAACACAGAACTTCGTATGTAAGTACATCAGTTCAGGTTGCCATACCACATCAGCACAGAGACGTAACTGTCAGTTCAAATCCAAGAGTGATAGCGATAGTAGAATTATTAGCAGCAATCGAGAAGATTAGGGAGCGAAGATATGATTCGAAAAGTATGACTCAGTGAGAAAAATTTAGACCGTAGCTGCTACCTTGACGTGGTGGTCGGGCTTGACTATCGTGATCAACCAAACGAGCTATATTGGCTGCAACATATGTTCCTGTAGGTTTCATCATGCCGGGCAGGTATGGTAGATCTTTCTTTCTTGATCTTCCCCCATCTTGTGCTGCCAGACATTACGTTGACACTCACGTCATATACTACTTATAAGTAGCTCGCACCACGCTACTACTACAACTAGAAAAGCAGTATATGGTGTAATGTTGACCAAGCGATCTGACTGAAATCTATTTCTAGAGCCATGCTAACCTACTAAAATAAGATACCTACGACTACTAAACTAACTTAAATAAGTAAAGTTTTTTAAGTCACTTGCTCTTATTATGTGCCACCAAACAATATTGAAAATACAATGTTTAACAACAATTGATTCAGGATTTCAATATTGAAAAAAAAAACAATCTCCATAACTCTATAATGAAAAGCCGTACAATGTGCTCACTAGTGACAGGCTTCATGAGGATATTCTCGGAGTTCTATGTGAGAAGCCATAACCAATGGAGTTCAACCTAGTCGGGTGTAGGCAGTAAGTACGGAAAACAAATGAGTGAGATCACGCATTAACACCATTGGATGTCGGCTCAGTGGTCCACAGATTAGGCGTTCGCGAGCAAGATTGAAGGTCATGGGTGTTCAACTGCTGCGAGTAGCAGGAGTCGTGGATGCGCACTGCCACGGATGAGTCCTGTGTACCAGGACGAAACGGCCGTCCAGTGTTTTTATAGTTTCTAATGGTGATCTAACAATGACACATTCATGATTTAGGTAAAAAAAACCCACCATATTCAACAACTATTGAGTGAATGTAAAATCATAGTCTCTCATTATCGTAGACATATATATATATATATAAATAAATAATATTAGAACACTTACAAAACTATCATTCAATGATAACCATTGACCATGACGTAGTGTAAATGAAACATAATGTCCACTGCGACAACTATATCCTTCATGATTTACAATAGCATATAATTTATATAACACTGGTACACCTTTTGATTGTGTCATAAATGGACGTAAATTAAATGATGATGGATAGTCTACACGTACATCAAGCTTTTGATGACGTGAAAATCTAGAAAAAAATAGAAAAAAAAAATAAACTGATGATAACAACAACGATAATAATAATAATCGACCTAAATTATGATGAACATACTACTGGACTGTATGTATACTTCTTAACAACTGGACAAGTAGTGTTTCACAGAAAAGTAATTTAAGAAATACAGATTTGTCAATGCTTTTTACACGTTAAACACGCGAATAACATTCAATTACAGTGGAACAGAACTATCAGAAACAGCGAAACATAAAAAATGAAACTACACATTTAGATGCTACTGTTTGGTGATGATAAAAAGCTTAAACTACTTTTGCATTACGGGGTTGTGAAGATTGTTAAGTTACACATTTTTTTTTGAAACCATGAATCGATCAATGTTAGACCACCATTAGAAACCTGGAAGAAGCACTGGGCGGCCGTTTCGTCCTGGTATGGGACTCCTCAGAGTTATTACAATCTATGGCGCATTACCATTATCTACACCGTGTGCAATAAAAAACAGTCCAGTTAGTCAGAAACAACGTAGAATTCCGTACGGGTATATATCGGTTCACGTTGTCAGACCGCATTAGGAGAGAGAGGGTGATGAAATCGTCAAGCCAAATTTCAGAGAAAAAGGTAGTAGCAATAATACTGGTAATCGAAAAGATTGGGGGTCGAAGAAATGATTTGAGAAGTATATCCCAATGAAATAAGTGTAAAAAAAACGGTCATGAAGAAGTTAGAAGTTGAAAGCAGACAAAGAATGGGTGCATCTATGCCATTGCAGACGATTTCGAGTGATAGCATTCAAGGTCTCTAAACACCGGCTACTATCGTGTAACGAACCCCAATAGATAATCAACACCTACAAACATGGCTCAGATTAGTTGTCAGTGAATTCTAGGATTCGTGCGACGCTTTAGTTTCGTCGAACATAGCGTTCTCCAGCCTACTCCTACACAGCAAAACATAGATCGTCGAAGTAGTCGGTGGTAGGGTACAAGTTATACATGTCCCGACCACCTCAACTGATCAACATTCACTACCTCATCAAATGATCTGACATCCTAACCGATTACCCTTTCCCAGACACCAGAGTAGCTTACTCAGTGGTCCAAGGATATACGAGCAATGCTCCGAAGCCAATCATTATCGAATGCTAGTAGCCTACTAGTATTCTCCATTCTTACTGGCTATATTTCTTAGACACAATGTAGGACGAAGCGAACTACTGCGCAGTCATAAATTAGGCAGGTTCGCGAAAGCCAGTTGAGAATTCTATATCCGTGCCAAAATTTCGTCATACATCAAGCAATCAGGACTGATTACACTCGCGAGATCAATAAGGCAGTCGACACACTCAAATGCTACACTCCCTATTACTACTATAGGTACCGATGCAGGTCAGACATGAAATATCTTACATTTCGAGGAGAACCGCATCCACAACATGCTTCCATTGTTGCCCACAGTAGTTGCAAAACTGCGTTTGTCAACGCTTTAACCAAACACAACTGTATCATCTGAAAATTATAAGTAGAAAAGTGATTCTCCCAGTAAACGTTCAACTCCAGATGTCAGACGATTAAAGTGTCAACTCTAGAAGCATGTCAATGACAAAGCTGAATTGGAATGGAGTAAGTGGACAACCCTTATCAACACAAACTGAAGTAATCAATTCCGAAGACAGTTTGCAATAAGCTGACTCGACCAGTAGTGCTCCAGCAGAGCGCCCATATAAGATTATTGTAGTTGTTTGGTACACCTTTCAATTAAACATTTGTCAATCTAAATGCTAAAACTGGATCAACATCCCTAAAAATCATTAGCTGTCATCTATTAAGGTGTGGTGCTCTTCTTTGTCTCTGACTGCCTACAGTTTTGTCAACTTCATTAACAGCTGGAGGACTCAAATCAAATTGCTATTCAGGTCGACTGGAGAGAGAGAGTAACAGAAGTGTAGCTACAAGCCAGCTAAAATGCACATCAACTCAATCTCCTGGATTGATAATGAATAGTGGTCTCATCTCTATCCTACAGTTTCGTTTCAGTCGCATTTCTAATCACAGTTACCTGAATAAGTTTGAATAGTTGTTAATCGTTACATATCACCACAGACGAGATTCCCTCTTTTGCTTTCGTTGCCCACCAATGCTCAACATTATTGCGCAGGCTTCCTATCAGCCATGTTCAAGCTGCCTTCACTCTTCATTGTGCTCAGAGACAGATGAAATGAAGTTATGAGCATCTACCACTTCGGTCGATGCAAATGAAACCCATTCCTCCTACCTAACTGTTTTGTTTAACAAACTGGCAGATATCAATACTGTTTTCAATGCTTTATGGATATCAATCCAAGCTGCTTCGGGGGGGGGTGTCATTCAGATAGAGATCTAACCTTTTACAGCTCCTCTCAAAATACACTCTTCGCATTGCTTTGGTTAAGCACAACCCTAAAGGGTTACCTTGCTGTGTCTTTCTTATGTCCAATAAGAATCAGACAAACACCTGCTCGTACTAGAGTATAACCTCAATCTACACATGTATTTTACAACGAGCAGAATTCCTCTATCGAGCCTCTCCATCGGCGGCTGGTACCAATGTGATATAGTGGAGACCAGCAGTCAATTGGTTTCGAAGGGCACCAAAATGTGTCAAAATTTGTTTCTCCTTATCCTTAAAGTTTATGTTTGACAGAAATAGATGGCTGAGTATAGTTGAAGCACACAGTTGCCATTATCTGCTCAACGAGTCTCAACACAAAACAATTCACCCACGCGTCTTTCGCCAGCCACTACTAGCATTCTGAAGAGTGTGGCAAAGCTTCAGCTCAACCCAGCTGCAACCTGTGACAGCATAGGTAGAGCAAACAAGGAGTCAACGGCAAGTGTCCCTATCTTTCTGAGTTCTTACTGTTCCGTTAAGCCGGACAGTCCACAACCAACTATCTACTGCAATCCAGTCCAACAGAGCTTGTACCGCTCCCGAACTCAATGCTATATATACAACAATGAGTCCACGGGAAGCAGCAGTCAGGCTTCCAGATATACGGAGAGTATATCTCATTGGTGTTTTTTATTTTAACAAAGTGAGGACAAACTAATGATTGTACTCGGATCTTGTATACGCATTTCGTAGACGTAGCGAGATTCTAAAGTCCTAGTCAGGGATGATTGTCGTACTTGGGGCACAAGGTCCATAGATTAAAAGCGCCAACAAGGGGCTTAGAGCTGGGGTTTCAAATTGTCAACATTAGAGGCATAAAGTGATGAAGTTATGGTAGAAGGATTGGTCGTGCAAACAAAGGAGTTATTAAAAAGTGGAGGAAGGATTCGATTGCAACCAATTTGATGTTGTGTGATGTTAGGTGGGTGAGGGTGTACGTCACTTCCCGGTTGCCCACACTGTGGAAGAGTATTTCTTCTTGAACAAACTGAAAAGGAAGATTGGTTAGCGTCGGTCTTAGCGACTTGTCAGCATGACCACAGAGACCAAGACATAACTGCTTGAGGTCGGTTGCGCATGGCCGTTTCATGGGAGGCTTTTCAATGGGCCCTACCACCAGAGACGGCAACCCGTGGGACAAAAGGAAGTGTGACATTCTTGCATAAGACTGTCTAAGAAAAATCTACCGCGTTTTTGTTAAACCGAGAATAAATTATTTTTTGAAAAAACACCCAGCTGAAGTAGACGAGAGGTAGTTTGGAGACGGGGAGTGGTGCAGAAAAGGTAAATAGGAAGAGAAATTTACATAATAAAAAATCATTGTAGCTTTTACACACACACATATATATATATATATATATATATATATACAGGTATACTCAAGTTTTCTCACCATAAATATATATGTGGTACTCGATGTTATATACTGGGTAGGGGGCAGATAAATGAATTGTGTTTTCAGTTGTGATTTGCATTTCACATCGCTCTACGATGTCAACTTCACCTCACGCGATACGTATATGTTTACACGTATACATGATTAGTAGACATAAATATGTATATGTATATATATATACATATATATTTGTGTGTAATCATCTCAGAGAGTACATGTTTATATGTTTACTTTTTCAAATGACCACAAACTCCCCACATCCTATCATTTCCAAATACGTATAAAACTGTTAGGATATTCACCAAATATCCTAAGAGTACTACTATTTTTGGAAGTATAATCCTATTGTGGTCGATTTCTATTGGTCAAAATTATGGTCGTTTTAACTGTCAAAGTCAAATACTTCAATGTTGTCTCTGATTGGTCTTCCGGACTGTCAATTTCATTTCAAATGTTCTTTCCTATTGGTCGTCCTAAACTGTCAATGTCACAGACTTTGATGCCCTTTCCTATTTGACCTAAATGTATAAATACGCACTATCTGTGAGACTTCAGGATTCCGATTCTTCCTGCCTACTTCTCTCTTCTGTACTCGACCCAACTCCATCCAACGGTGTTGCGTTCTGATTTATAGGAGATTTGGAAATAGTATTTGGGTCGTACTGGGATATTTGAATTTGGACGCCGCTAGGACTGAATAGCAGCATTATAACAAAAACGTAATGAAAATATAAATGCAATTAGTCTTAATACACAAAAATTTGTGATAAATAATTGAATTTTCCATGAGAGAAATAGGAGTGTAAAAAAAAATAAGATGTTATTTCCAAAAAAATTATACGTATGTAGGTATCTATGCATATACTCTAATTTGTTTTGAGAGCATCAATTATTTAAAATGTGTGTGTTTATGGTAAAAACTAAGTGGAATTCCATTTAGGGAAAGTCTTATTGAATACTCCTCCTCCTCCTCCTCTACATCAGACACACATTGTATTCGACTAGTTAAGGTCGTTGGGCAGTTTGAATATGTGTGGCTTGAAAGTAAATAGACAAACATATTTCAGATATACTGGAACTTGTAACACCTAGTGAAAGATTTCAAAGAGAAGCAAGCGTTTGCTGACTTTGGTAATGTTATGCAAGAGTACATGGGGACATAAGCAATAATAATAATACTAATAATAATGTAACTCATGACTATGCATGTACTACACTTTGGATGCAACTTATTGTAATAGGCGTTAAAAGACACCAATGACCTGTTGAAAGTGAAATGGCTGCGGTTTGAAAACGATAAACTGAAAACTATAAAATGCTATTTTTTTTATAAGAAATAGGTAATTCTAACGCCACATTTTATCCCATTGAAATATTGAACAAAACGTAGGCAAATTAAAACAAACTGAATACCTTTCAAAGAGAATATTCATTAGTAAACAAATAAATTTAACAACAAATATTTACTGGCAAAAGAAAGAAGCAGAAGAATTGAAATTCAAATGCTTACCGATTAAGTTGAACAATAAGAATAGGCGGTGCACGATAAATGGTACACTTTCTTGTAGCCGGTCGAAGTTGACGACAATTTTCACATTTATATGCATTTTGACCAGATAACTCTTCACTACGAATATAATTATACAGACATTGCTGAAAAGAGATAAACAAGGTAAAAGTTTATTATGGTTTCTCTAATTAGTAACACAGAAGTTAGTAATCAATCGATGCGACTCAAAAAAAATCAAGTATTTGTCTTTTCTTTAAAAAAAAGCTTACTACTGCATAGCTAAGAGTTATTATTTATTAATAAGTTTAAAGCTCAATTATAAGAAAATAAACATTCTTTTTTAAAGATAGTAAACACTTTAACTGGTTAAATATTTTAAAGTTACAAAGAAATATGAGAAATCAAGACTAATCAATCATATAATTAGTGAGAACGTCGTGGTATGTGACGAAATCTCAGCACGAATACAGAAGGCTCGACTGGCTTTTACCAACTTGCATTACTTATGGAGTAAGTGAAATATCTATTTACTAACCAAGAGGTGAGTGTACTGCGCGACAATTCGCTCCGTTCTACTCTATGGATGAGAAACATGACCGTTAAGGGTTGAAGCTATTCGCAGGTTGTTAGTATACGATCATAAGTGTCTTTGAAGCATTGCTCGTGTATTTCGGGACCATCGAGTGTTTTTAAGAAATGGGTATTCGGTAAGGGGATGGCAAATTAATCGGTGAAGGAATGAATCGTTATCAGTTAAGGTGGTTCGGACATGTATAACGTATGCCCAGCCATAGAATGCCTCGAAGAAAGCAATGTTCGGCCATACCAAAACATGACACAAATCTTCGAAGTCACTGACAACTGGATTGAGCCAGGGGTCTACGACAAGATAGTAACAGATAGTCTATTTACACACCTCACAAAATACACATTCATGTATCGGGCTTCAGGTTACACCATGAATCCGAAAGATAGTGATAATCACCCGACGGCATAAACTGAAGGGGTTGAAAAGTTGAAGACCGTTGTTAGCCTCTCATTAAACCACCGCTGCATATTTTGATAAATCATCAACAAGGCAACCTATTGTAAACAAATACAAGCCTATTGTATTGAAATTGTGTATTGATTAGGTTGTTTGGTGTATAGTAACTGGAGCTGATTACAAATTGGTTCGTCACTAGTTTGATGGTAGCCAATTACTGAAAAAAACTTGATATGCATACATAAGGAAGGGCTGACACTCTTTAGTCATCATGAAAACACGGATATAAATCAAAGCAGTGAGTACTTAACAAAGTAGATTTAGACACAAGTTTCTAACGACACAAGTCGCCGCGTCACATACACTAACAATAACAGTGCGTAGCGGAAAATAGCGAAATAAAATTAATAAGACTAACAGTAGTGGGAATATAGTTCGAAAAGAACAGATGATAACGCAAATTCATACTTAGCTTCTGCATCCCTCGTAATCTCTACCTTTCTCCTTCTAAATTTATCTTACTGAATTATACTTCTCGAATCATATCTTCGCTCCCTAATCTTCTTCATTACTGCTAATACTTCTATTATTGCTATCACTCTTGGATTTGAATTGACAGTTGCGTTTCTGTGTTGATGGGGCATGGCAACCTGAACTATGTACTCACGTACGAAGTTCTGCGTTGTATCTGTCTGTCTATACTTAGCTCATGAATTAGGGGAAGCTAAAGAATTAGTTCAACTGAATCAACTTGACCGGCTTTGAATTACCTCATACATAAGGTTCCAACAATGAATTATGTGAGCCTGATTTTTATCGATACCTTCGAAGCCTTACTCCCAAATATTTGGATGATTGCGTGAGTTATAATGAGGTTAGTTGAAACCTACTAAGTAAGCATGGAAAATTGTTTGATGAAGTGGTAAATATTTACTAACTGAGGTGCCGCCTACGTTGATGGGTAACATTGCCCAATGCAGAAGTAGGTTGGAAGAAAACAAAGAGCGGACAAACTAAGACGTGGCATCGGTCCATGAAGTAAATGGCTGTTGATTCAATCCACGTTGACAGGTTCACAACATCTGTTTGGCAATCCACGCGATTATCCTAACCACTACTGATCAGAGGACTTTGAGCGACATATTTCCGAGAATCGGTCACAATGGCACAAATACATTTATTCTTTGTCTTCTTTTCCATATTTCCAAATAATCTTATACTTTTTCCTATACTCCATGAAGTCATGCATTAGTTTGAGTAAGGTTTCTATGTCTTGCAATGCTACATATTTAGAATCAATAACTTCATAAAATCAACCATGTCTTGGTCTGGACACCTAAAGTATTATTATACTGATTCATATTGCAACATTGCTTAGCATTAATTAATTAGCAAACAGTTAAGTAAAGAAAATCAACACTTTAAAATGTAAGAAATGAAATTAACTAACCTGTAAACTTCGAGCGCATGTGATATCCATAGACAGATTAAAGCATTGTTCATCTCGTGCTGAAACTTTCAGGCAAGAATGACATGTCACTGTAATAAAACAGTAAAATAACATTACATCTTTAATAATAATGATAATAATAATAATAATAATAATAATCGTTTGTTAACAATATTTACAAAATAATTCACAATCGAAATCAACATGTGAAATGAACAGAATTACATCATTAAAGAATGTTGTCACAACTTCGTATTTTTACCTTCTGAACGTATTACACCGCCAAAAATTCGTCTGATTGCATTTGTTTCAGATATTTTACTAGGTATTTTTTCTTCACCTAAACCTGCCATTGAACTATCTTCCATTCTGGATAAAAGTCCAAGTAGAAATTCATGTGCATCCTCTTGTTGATAAGGACGAAGACTTGGACAGATAGCTATTAAAGGGAGAGTAAAGAGGCAGGTAGGCAGTGAATAAAACAACAAGCTAAGTTAAATTATACTTGAGAGCATAGAAAGAGATAAGAATAGTCGGTAAAGAAGGTAAAAATACACCGACGAACTTGAGCAGCCTATCAGCTAGTTAGGAAACGCTGACTAGTTATGAAATTATAAGATATAAGTCAAATAATAACTTCGACTTGAATACTCGACCCTCACATGTTGAATTATTGCTTGTAGTGGGAAGGGAAAGGTTAAGTTTACTACATAATAACAATTGGGTTAGTGTTATAAGTAGGAAAGGTTATCCCACTAAAGAGTTTTGGACACGAATCGAGACCAACAATGAAACAGAAAAAGGTTAAGGTTAGATGTTAAAAGTTCAGCTGGAGTTCGAAGTATGGTCGTTCAAATGGATGCTCGAAAACGCATTCCACCTGACTCTGAACATGATGAAGAGCGTAGTCAGCTTAGGTGCAGACTTATAAAAAGCCTACGTAACGACCGTGAACAGTGGTGGGTGGCGAAAGCAAAAGCGATGGAAAAGGCAGCGGCGATAGGCAACACTAGACAACTTTTCCGCCTTATCAAAGAAACCGGTATTAGGAACCCGAATGTAAGTGAGACTATCTCGGAAAAGGATGGTCTTATTATCCATTCTCAATCTAGGAGGCTGGACCGATGGGCAGAACACTTTATGGATCAGTTCAACTGGCCTTCAGCCACTCTTCGGTTGCCCACGATCTCCAGTCATCCTGAATGGCAAATCGATTTAAGTCCTCCCAGTTTACATGAACTTGAGAAAGCTATAGGAAGTCTAAGGAGAGGTAGAGCGGCAGGTCCCGATAGGCTTACCCCTGAGATGTTTAAGGATGGTGGTCCAGTTTTAACGGTTAAACTGACCGAGATCCTAGGTAGAATCTGGGAAATGGACGTAATCCCATCTGACTGGTCTCAGTCGCTAATTGTCCCAATCTACAAGAAAGGACAGAAGTCCTCTTGTGACAATCACAGGGGAATAAGTTTAACTAATATAGTTTCTAAATTGTTAGCCTCGATTATACTTAGACGTCTAACTAGAGCTCGCGAAGAGCAGACTCGAGAAAACCAGGCTGGTTTTCGACCTGGACGTGGTTGTATAGACCACATCTTCACACTACGACAGGTCCTGGAACACAGACACACATTTAGACGTCCGACAATAGTCGTGTTCCTGGACCTTAAGGCGGCATTCGACTCAGTGGATCGTGAGGTTCTGTGGCAGTGTCTGTCATTGAAAGGTGTACCAAATAAGTACATTAACCTTATACAAGCACTCTACTCGAACACCACCGGTCGAGTGAGAGCTTATGGCGAACTGTCATCTGAATTCTCTACATCAAGTGGTGTCCGTCAGGGCTGTCCACTCTCTCCATTCTTGTTCAACTTTGTCGTAGACATCCTCTTAGAGTTAACATTAAGCTCGTCAGATTTTTCAGGGGTTGACCTTCTACCAGGAAAGTCGCTTACTGATCTAGAATATGCCGATGACATAGTCCTACTTGGTGAAGACGCTGATAAAATGCAGAGTCTTCTGACTACCATAAGCAACAATGCGAGCATGTTCGGGATGCGGTTTTCCCCGTCGAAATGCAAAATGTTGCTTCAAGACTGGGTTGCTTCGGCACCTGAACTGGTGATAGGGAGTGAAGTAGTCGAGCGTGTTGATCACTTCACTTATCTGGGGAGTCTCATCAGTGCTGACGGTCTGGTGACTGACGAAATCTCAGCTCGGATACAAAAAGCTCGATTGGCTTTTGCCAACCTGCGTCACTTATGGCGTAGGCGTGATATCCGTTCGCTAACCAAAGGGCGGGTGTACTGCGCAGCAGTTCGTTCCGTTCTCTTATATGGCTGTGAAACATGGCCGTTAAGAGTAGAAGATGTTCGTAGGTTACTAGTATTCGATCATAGATGTTTAACAAGCATTGCTCGTATATCGTGGGACAGCCGAGTAAGCAATGCTGTCGTTAGGAAACGAGTACTAGGTAAGGATGGCAGATCAATCGATGAAGTGGTGAAACTTCATCAGTTGAGGTGGTTGGGACATGTGTTACGTATGCCTAACCACCGACTGCCTCGACGAGCTATGTTTTGTGGTGTAGGAGTAGGTTGGAAGAAAGTTAGGGGCGGCCAGACCAAAACATGGCACAAATCCATGAAGTCACTGACAAGTGGACTGAGTCATGTTGGTAGATGTAGACTACCTGGTTGGGGTCCGCGAGACGAAAGTCATCAATGGTTAGAGACCTTGAACGACATGGCTCAAAATCGCTTGCAATGGCGCAGGTGCATCCACTCTTTGAGCTTTCTCAAACCCTAATCTTCTGGATTAGCCAGCACCTCTACCTTTGTCTTTCTAACCTTATATCACTGAATTATATTTTTTGAATAATATCTTAAACCCTAGTTTTCTTTATTATAACATTAATACCTCTACCATGTTTATCACTATGGGATTTGATTTGACATTTGCGTCTCTGTGCTAATAATGTGGTATGGCAACATGAACTTATGTACATACGTACGAAGTTCTACGTTGCAACTGACTGACTGACTGAAAGATTCTCATTACGAAATGACGTCACTTATGATGCAATGCTATATCCATTATTCAACTGTTTACAAACCAAAAGTCGAGATTTAGAGTAAGAATTAGAAAAGGGAGGACAGTATCTAGCTTCACTAAACACATGAGAACCCAGTGAATCACAACAAGTACAAGTAACAAACGATTTGCTTTGAGAGCGGGCATGTATGGAGACTTAACCTAATTCACCTTACAGTTTTATAACAGGAATTACTTACTGATTTCAAGCATTCTAAAGACTACAACATCAATTTTTATTTCGTTAATAATAACATATAAGTTACCTACCGCCAAACTTTAAATTCCGTGCAAAAAAACATAAGACGTTATCTTAATTCTGATTGGTTCACTCAAGATTGTTTTCAGTGTATTGTGCTTCTGACTAGATAGGTGAGACTTGTACAATATATTTTAAAATTTTTTACATAATTAATATTACTAAAAGCTTACTCCATTTTTAATGCATATTTGCTTACCTCGAACATTGGATACAAAGTAAACAGGAACTGTACGTCCATTTTGTGAGTGATGTTCATTTAACAAACGAGAAAGACCACATAAAGCACAAAAACGTGATTTGTTCAAATTCGAAAGATTAGATCGACCATTAGTGATCATACAACTGCTAGGATTTGAATGTTTATGATTGATATATGCAAGTAAAGGACCAGTAGCCATAATACATTGAAGTACAGAGTTAAGATAACATGTATTCCCAGAGTTACCAAACCCTAAAGCTCTTCTTGGTATACAATGAATACCGGCCTGACATAAATGTTCAAGTTCATCATCGGAACATAGGAGTTTATTTTCAAGAGAACCTGGAAGTTATATACAAGAACCATTGAAATTTTACATGTTACACAGAAACACAAACAGTAGATCATTAATTCCCTTTAAACACTAATTAAACTTCTATTACCAATCTTAATAAAAAATTATTCGAAATGATGAGAGACTATTAATTCACTTTTACCCCACTAATAAAAAGATTAAATAAAGTACAGTAACATCGTGAAAATGTTGATTGATATTAAAGCAGCAAAGCATTTCATAAGTTTTATTACTACAAAACAAAGAAAATAGCTACTAGTTAACTTAATTAATTAAGACCAACAACCTTACATTAACTTGATACCAGAATAATAGAGCTGACCTGCTAAGTAATCAGTATTAATAGTCAAATATGAACTTGATAAGTAGAAGTGGTTATTAACAGGAAGTCATCATGGGTTTATTATATTCTACGTTTGTTCACATCTATCTGCACGTCATATTTGGAATCTTCAGAAAGATAAATAAATCAAGGATTAGGAGATCGATCAATAGGAAGAAACCACATGATATTATTTATTGTTCTAGTTTTGTAGGAAGACCGGTTGGTCGCAGAGAAATCGACTTCGTACTGATGCCTTGAGGTAGATATTTGAATTAGTCACAATAACAATGGTTACTGATGACTAATGGGAAACTCAAGATCACATGTTTTTCGCATCATCAAGTGCGTGTGTTTATACAGTGGACAAACTAATGCTACCTTTTTCTTAGGAATTATGCATGATTACTGACAATCAAAGTACAATAATTCATAAATAACAGTGATCGATTATAATAAGACTAAAATCTAGTGGTAATAAATGAATATTTCGAAAGTATTATTATTCTATAGAAAATGGAATAAACTGAGTGGTAGAAAATCCCGAGGAAAATCGAAGAACATAATGAGGTTCAATGAGAGTGAAATTCCTAGGATGAGTGAATGTGAGTTTGATGCGAAAGCCATTCGATAAGTAGGTATTTACATAGACTATTTGAACTAAAACTTAGGAATCATAGAAAAATATATTTGGTAGCAACATTCATCCAACGACACTTTTCGTATACTGTTGGGAACGTTAGAGCCCCCAGAACTTACTTGGAAAAGGTCTTAAATTTTGTAATTTATTTCTGAAATTTGAATTTCATTCTTTTTGCGCATAAGATGCTTAGTTGACTTTTAGCTTCAGTTCTCATTCGGAAAATCCTTGACTGTCACTGGTTGATGGATTATTTTAGTAAGCTATTTTATGGCTCTCCCAAGGGCGTTTCTATCATTGTATAAATAAGACTTCTTGTTTTAGTTAGTGGGGCCTTGGACAATCAGGTTAGAACAGCCTATCGTGTCACAGCATCATTTATCTGCGCTCTGTTTACCGAGGAAGGTGAACTCGTAATAGTTACACGCATATCACTTGATGAGCATATCATATACACTTTGTATCCATCACATTTCTTGAATGGTAAAGTTTGGTGAAAGTAACGTGAGCAATTAATGGATTTTATCATTCATATTTACACTAGATAAGTGTTGTAATGCTTTCTTAGATAATTCCCAGCTAAATCCTATTGCTTAGTATTCTCTGACCACAATACACTGGACAAGTTCCCAAGAATCAAAAACACGGTTGAACAGGAAAAGATTACATTCCAAATAGCAAGGCTAGGTGGAAATAAGAAGCCAAAGGTGATGGCGAAGGCGAAAATAGGTACAACGTTTGTCTATTTATAGCATTTACATGAAAAGCTTCTGGATAGAAATTCACGTGATCGACTGGATTATATTTAACCAATCAGCACGCAGCTAACAATACGAGAATCTTCTACCCTGTTCTCCAAGATTCGATCAGGCGCTAATTGGATAGGAAATTAGCCAATCAGCGCGTAGCAACGTAGTCATGCTTTAATTCCATCTATGTCCCACTAACAATAAGGCACAAGCATATTTTTTAAATCTTAAAGATTGTGTTGGCCTTCTCCCTAAATACAAAATTTCTTTTACATACCACTGATGTCTCTATACAGTACCGAACTATTAGTGGATATATAAATATTTACTTTTGAAACAAACGAAATCAGAAATAAAGATTCTAGCCCTTTGAAAAAATTTGAACAATTCAACGTGTTTTGAAGTTCATCAACGTGTAACAATGCAACAATTATCAGAACAAAAAAAACATACTTTTCTCGACAGATTTACATTCATTGGAATCTGTTAAGATTAAAGATCTGGGTAAACTTTGAATTTTTTGCTTGATTATTGAATCCAAAGGAGGAGCTGATGATTCATGGAAAGACAAAGGTTGTTGGGATAGTTTTTCTGTATAGTTTGATATATGTCCATTCAGTTGGACAGCGGATGATTTTAAAGATAAACGTAAAGCATTATCTAAATTATAGGAGACCAATTTGGAAGTGCATATCGATGATGATGATGATGAACCGGATTTCATGAAATTAGTTGTAGAACCATAATTACTATTTGATGATGATGATGATGATTGATGATTAAATCCTAACACTGAACCATCAGAATTACAATCGAAATGTTGGAAATTCTGTGTAACAGGTTTAGGTAAATGATATGAAACATTGGGAACTATGGATGCAGTGGACGACATTGATGTATGAGAAGAGTATGAGATAAATGAAGAAGCGTCAATATTAAAATAAAAATGTAACGTGCATCGTCAATAAGATTACTGCACTGGAAGATTAAAAAGTACCTATAATTAAAAGAAGTATAAGTGTTATATTTTACTTTCATAAAAGTAAGACACGCATTGTTTGATCAATAAAAAAAACAATTGAATTCAAATTCAAATGTTGGACGACAACAAAATACATTGGCACTGTTCTAAATTGGTGCAACACCTCAAATGACTTGGAACGGACTTAAAATGAGAAGAATTGGCTCTTCCTCGCAAAACGCTCTCATATAACCATGTTTAAATAGCTACTTCTAGGGAAGTTGTACTCCGCCTTTTGGTGACGAAGTTGTTTACGGAAATGAAATGCGGTGCACGTACTTTTTGGTGTCTCTCTGAACTGATGGCATTTATATAAGTAAATAAAAAATCACCACAGTGAAGTGACGATGAATTTTAGGAGCCAAAATAATAATAGAATCAATGATTGTGACAAAAACATGGGAAAAAGATGGTTCTAAAAGGGATAAATTTAGGAAATACAAAGTCAGTAAGTCAGCTACAACGTAGAATTCCGTACGTACGTACATCAGTTAAGACGACCAATAGGAAACAACATTTAAAATGACATTGACAGTCAGGACGACCAATAAGAAACAACATTGGAGTACGTGACATTGATATCTAGGACGACCATAAAATTGATCAGCAGGAATTAACCAATAGAAATTGACCAATAATTCTCTTTCAGAATATTAGATGACTATCCTAACAATGTCCCATCCACCTCAACTGATCAACATTTACTACGTCAACAAATGATCTGACATCCTAACCGACTAACCTTTCCCAGACACCAGAGTTGCTTACTCAGTAGTCCAAAGATATACGAGCAATGCCTCGAAGCCACTCACTATCGAATGCTAGTAGCCTACCAATATTCTCCATTCCTGCTGGCTATATTTCTTAGACATAATGTAGGATGAAGAGAACTACTGCGCAGTCATAAATTAGGCAGGTTCGCGAAAGTCAGTTGAAAATTCTATTTCCATGACAAGATTTCGTCATACACCAAGTAATCAAGACTAATTACACTCGCAAGATAAATAAGGCAGTCAACATGCTCAACTGCTACACTCGCTATCACTACTGTAGGCACCGATGCAAGTCAAACATGAAACAACACTTTGCATTTCGAGGAGAACCGCATCCTCAACATGCTTCCATTGTTACTTAAGGTGGTTGCAAAACTGCATTTGTCAGCGTTTTCACCAAACACAACTGTATCATATGCATATTCTAAGTCGAAAAGTGATTCTCCCAGTAAGAGTTAAGCTCCAGATGTCAGACGATGAAAGTGTCAACTCTAGAAGCATGTCAATGACAAAGCTGAATTGGAATGGAGTAAGTGGACAACCCTTATCAACACAAACTGAAGTAATCAATTTCGAAGACAGTTTGCAATAAGCTGACTCGACCAGTAGTGTTCCAGCAGAGCGCCCATATAAGATTAATGTAGTTGTTTGGTACACCTTTCAATTAAACATTTGTCAATCTAAATGCTAAAACTGGACCAACATCCTTGAAAATCCCAGCCGTTAATTTATCAGGGTCTGGATGCTTTCCCTCGACTCTGACTGCCTACAGTCTTGTCAACTTCATTGACAGCTGGAGGACTTGCATAAAACTGCTATTCAGGTCGACTGGAGAGAGAGAGTAACAGAAGTGTAGCTACAGGTCAGTTGAAATGCACATCAACTCAATCTCCTAGATTGATAATGAATAATGGTCTCATCTTTATCCCAGTTTTGTTACAGTCCGATTTCTAATAACAGTTACCTGAATAAGTTCGTATAGTTGTTCACTGTTACATATCATCACAGACGAGATTCCCTCTCTTGCTTTCGTTGCCCACCACTGATTAACAATATTGCGCAGGCTTCCTTTCAGTCTGTGTTTAAGCTGCCTTCGCTCTTCATTGTGCTCAGAGACAGACGAAATGAAGTTATGAGCATCTATCACTTCGGTCGATGCAACTGAAATCCATTGCTCCTACCTAACTGTTTCGTTCGACTTACTGGCAGATATCAATACTGTTTTCAATGCTTTATGGATATCAATCCAAGCTGCTTCAGGGGGGGTATCATTCACATAGAGATCTACCTTTTTACAGCTCCTCTCAAAATATACTCTTCGCTTTGTTATCGTTAAGCACAACAACAAGGGGTTACCTTGCATTGTCTTTCTTATGTCCAATAAGAATCAGACAAACACCTGCTCGTACTAGAGTATAATCTGAATCTACACATGTATTTCACAACGAGCAGAATTCCTCTGTCGAGCCTCTCCATCGGTGACTCATACCAATGTCATATAGTGCAGACCAGCAAGCAATCGATTTCGGAGGGCACCAAAATGTGTCAAAATGTGTTTCTCCTTATCCTTATAGTTTGTGTTTGACAGAAATAGACGGCTGAGTATAGTTGAAGCACACAGTTGCCATTATCTGCTCAACGAGCCTCAACACAAAACAATGCACCCACGTGTCTTTCACCAGCCACTATTAGCATTCTGGAGAGTGTGGCAAAGCTTCAGCTCATCCCACTTGCAATCTGTGACACCATAGGTAGAGAAAACAAAGAGCCAACGGCGAGTGTCCTTATCTTTCAGAGTTCTTACTGTCCCGTTAAGCCGGACAGTCCACAACCGACTATCTACTGCAATCCTGTCCGAGAGCTTATTCTGCTTCCGAACTCAATGCTATACGCATTTCGTAGACGTAGCACATATAGACCGTGCAAGATTCTAAGGTCCTAGTCAAGGAAGATTAGCCTACTTGGCACAAGGTCCATAAATTAGAAGCGTCAACGAGTGGTTTAGAGCGGGGTCTCAAGGGATCAACAATACCATTTCGTGTACCCAAATTGTCAGCATTAGGGGCCCAAAGTAATAGAGTTATAGTAGAAAGATCGTGCAAACAAAGGAGTTATTAAAAAGTGGAGGAAGGATTAAATTGCAACCAAGTTGATGTGTGCTGTTAGGCGGGTGAAGGTGTACGTCACTTTTCGGTGTCCCACACTGTGGAAGAGCAGACATACAACGCAGTACATTGGTTCAGGTTGCCATACCACATCATCACACAGACGCAACTGTCAATTCAAATTCAAGAGTGATAGCGATAGTAGAAGCATTAGCAGTAACGGAGAAGATTAGAGAGCGAAGATAGGATTCGAGAAACATAATTCAGTGAGATAAATTTAGAAGGAGAAGAAATACTGTGGAAAACTATTTCCTTTTGAACAAACTGAAAGGGAAGATTGGTTAGCGTTGGTATAATCGACCTGGTAGCATGACCACAGAGCCCAAAAGATCACTGCTTGAGGTCCGTTGAGCATGGCCCTTTCATGGAGGTTTTTGAGGTGTTAGCTCCGCTTTTCGAAGATTCTCGAGGCAAATAACTTACTGCTATCACATCCTTCTATAGTCAGCAAACGCTCCCCCTCAGACCTTAGGTTGCTGCTTTTAGTCTCACGGTCCTGCAGTTGACTCGCCTGGCATGGTAGGACCTAAAGGAACACATTTCAGCCTCTATACCTCGGTTGGGTGATCAAAATAGCAAGCACCATAACCGTGCCAAAGTAGTAGGTACGGTCAGTTACGATGCTCTTTCGCTTCGTACAATTATATTCTTTTGCCAACTATCATCGAGCAACAAGGTAAGCGGGGATTAGATACGTTAAACACTCCCTGTGAATAAAATTTCAACCTTCTCTGCTAGCAGTGAATCTTAAACTTACCAGTGCTTGCTCAGTTGCGCCACAATATATGAGGAGTGTATGAAGACAACTAAAAACGTGCAACCTAAAAATACCTTTCTCACCAAGTTTATCTCTGTCATAAAGTATTATATAAAGTGGATTATAGTGTAATAGACGTTTCATAGTGAGACGGACATCTAGCCCACATCGCTAGTGACGCAAGTTTTCAAAGGTCAAATGACTGTTTTAAACCCGTGCCGATGATCTGCTAGCCAACGAAACTCTGAGACAAGAACGTTAGTGTGAGCAAGGCGGGTAATATCCTTAAGGTTTTGTTAACCAAGCTGACTTACGGGTTTAATCCACAACGAAGTAGAACGAGACACTTGCTTTCTAACCACAGTATCGTCAACACCACTATAGCGTGAGGGTGTAGAGTAGGACTTAGCGGTCAGATGCTTTAATGTTGGGATTTAAGAACGCTTCATTTACTGTGTAAATACCAGCCAAGTGGATTAGTGGATGTAGTTTGCCGAACAATACATGAGATCGAACCTCGTTAACTGGCTTGCAGAGTTCATGTAACTAACTGGTCAGTAATGTACTGTACGATTCCAGGAAACGCCTAAGCAAACGAGTGTATCCAGTTAGGACCCGATATGAATGCGCAACATTAAGATGAGACACTCATCAATTTGGAAACGAAACGAGAATGAATATAAATAAGTGTTTTGGTAGGTTTTGGAACGCTATCCGTCCGACCGA